AATCCCAAAAGATAGAGTTTATTACTAGTCATATTTAACAGATGTCGAAACTGAGGCCTGGAATGGTTAAGTAATGTGCCCAAACTGTGAATAAAAGCAAAAGCCACAATTTGCACCTTGGCTATCTGACTCTAAAGCCAGGGTCTTAATCACTGTATATATATATCCACTGAGTGTGGGGTTTTGACAGATATGAGTCCTATCCAACTTTAATTCTTTCTCTGCCTCTCTAAGGCCTGAACCAGGGCCAATTGTCCTTCCCAAACTAAAATTTCCCCACTACAGTCTTTGTCCTGAGTTAGACATCAGAGCCAGGTGGTGTTGACTGCAGGAGACCTTTGAGAGAAGGCACACATGACCTTGTGTTGGGAAGGGAAATATGGGTACAGGTGGAAAGGAGAATCCTGAAGGGATGAGATATGGGATGGGGAAGGGAGAAGAAGTAGGGCAGGCCTGAAGCATAGACAAGAGTTGAGAGGCCACTTTGGAGGGTCCAAAGGGGTATATAAGAAGGGAGGGAGATGGGAGAGACAAGCATTGCCTCTTTCACAGTGTCACTCAGGATTGGCCCCACTAGCTCCCTAAACCTCACCCTAATCCACCTTAGAGCCCCCTAACAGCCTGAAATGTTAAAGGACCATCAAAACATCATGGAATCTTGGAATGGTCAAATCTCTTAACCACAAAATCATTGAATTCTAGAAGCTAAAGAATTGTAGGCTCTTCGAAACACAAAATTCTCAAATCCTAAACCTTAAAAAACCTGGAACTTTGGAATCTTAGCTTCTTTAGATCATGAATTCACAAACTATCTAAACAGAAACCCTCTGAAGAGCATAAGGTTATAAGGCCTCTTATTTTGCAGCTGGGAAACTGAGGTTCAGAGAGGGAACCAAGAGTCTTCCCCGATGTCACTCAGTGAATTCATGGCATAAGGAACTAGAACTTATTCCACCAGCCATGTGCAAGGATTGGGGCCAGTGCCAGGACCGCAGGAACTGAGGAGGCCTGTCGCCTGGCAGCCCTTCCTGCCCTCCTGGTTTTGGCATGGCCTTGGACACTCACCTCTCTAAAGGGAGTGGGAGCTCCAGGCCATGCCACCCTTCCTTGTGCCTCTCACCTTAGAGGGTGGGGTGGGGTGGGGATTGTGGTGGGCAGGAGGCCTCCTGGCCTTAGGGACAGCCTGCCAGGTCCCCCACATTCTCAGCCTCTGCCAGGCCTATTGGAGGGGGGAGGGGACCTCCTGGTCTGGGCACTGGCTGAGACATTCTCTCTGTCTTCATGCTCAGAGCAGGCAGCAGGGATGGGGTGCCAATTGGCATAGGGGTGCCAGAGCTACAAGGCTGCCGCAAGGAAGGTAGGTCAGGGTTTCTTCAGTAACTGGGCTGAGAAGGAAGGCTGAGGCAGTGTTGCAATCAGCCCCCTCTGTAGTGGGGGGAAGGGAGGAGGAAGAAAGACATTATTCACTCCTTGGAGAGTTGGGCTGGCTCTGAAAAGCACCCCAGCTGGGCCTGTGTCCCACCCTCTCTGCCAGCAGCAGCTAAGAGATAAACACAGCTCATTTGATATGGGCCAGCCGGGACCTTGCTGGAAATGGGATCTTCTGTCTAATCCCGCCCCCTCCCACTGAACTTCGGGGGGCTAGGAGAGGGAACTAAGCCATGTGTTCCTGTGGTCCTCACGGCCATCAAAGTGCAGACTCTGAAGGCATCATTACCATGGCCTCAAGTCTTTGTTCTGGGAGACCCAAAAGGGTAGAGCAGGGGCAGTATGGAGAGCCAGAGGGAGGCAAATTTAAGGAATTTGACTGCTAACCAGAAGGCTGGTGGTTCAAACCTTCGAGCCACTCCTTGGAAGGCAGGTTGGGCGATCTACTTCCTCAGTGATACCACCTCAGAAACCCAAAGAGGGCTTGCTATGAGTCAGGTGCAACTTGAGGGCAGTGAGTTTGGTTGTTTGGTTTATAGAGAAAACTTTCTAGCAGTTGGAAGTGTCCCATAAGCTCCTCTTCCCAAGAACTGTATGCTCAGGGGCTGAGTTCTGGCCCACTCCTCAAAACCGACTGGGAGGGAATTGCTCATTGGGTGTGAACCCTTCCAACTAGTTCTGCTTCGAATGCTCTGAGATTCTATGAGTTTCAAAGTCTCAGATAATGTGATTCAGAAAGTGTGAGAACCAATATTTTCAAGATCTTTGACTCTAGAATGTGGCATAAAAGGCAACTTCTAGATTCTAGAACAGTAAGGGCCTAAAAAAAAGAAACTCAAAGCCATGGAGTCAGATCTGACTCATAGCGACCCTTCCTTGGGTTTCTGAGGTGGTATCACTATGGAAGTAGATTGCCCAACCTTCCTTCCGAGGAATGGTTGGTGGATTTGAACGCCAGCCTTCTGGTTAGCAGTCAAATGCCTTAGGCACTACACCACCAGAGCTCCCAGTAAGGGCCTAGAAAAAAAAAATAGGGAATGGGGCATGGTGGCCAGTGGAGCAGAGAGAAAAGAAGGAACTTGAGCCTTTAGTCCCTGAGACTGGGTGAAAAAAGTCATAGGTGGGAGGTGAATTGCAAGGAACTCAACTTTGGAGCTGGGGTTCTAGGTTTAAATCACCAGCTGGGTGGCCTTAGGCAAGTCACTTAGTCTCTGTGAAGCCTCAGTTTTCTCATCTAGTTTTATAATAATTATAATACTGCAAGACAGATATTGTCATCTATTCTAATTTTTAGTGTGGTTGTGATTGTTAGCATAATTATCAGTATCATTATCATAGCATGCATGTGAGAGCTGGACAATGAATAAGGAAGACCAAAGAAGAGTTGATGCTTTTGAGTTGTGGTGCTGGCAAAGAATGCTGAAAGTACTGTGGACTGCTAAAAGAACTAACAGATCTGTCCTGGAGGAAGTGCAGCCAGAATGCTCCTTGGAAGCGAGAATGGCCAGACTTCGTCTCACATATTTTGGTCATGTTGTCAGAAGGGACCATTCCCTGGAGAAGGATGTCATGCTTGGTAGGGTGGAGGGTCGACGAAAGAGGGGGAGGCCTTCAACGAGATGGATTGACACGGTGGCTGCAATGATGGTCTCAAGTATAGCAGGGATCATGGAGCTGGTGCAGGATTGGACAGTGTTTCATTCTGCTGTGCATGGGGTCGCTATGAGTCAGAAACGACTCGACGGCACCTAACAACAACAACAATAGTATCATTCAGGTACTGGGTTGAGTAAGCACTTTACAAAACCCAAACCATACCCACTACCATCAAGTCAATTCTGACTCATAGCAACCCTATAGGACTGTGTAGAACTGTCCCATAGGGTTTCCAAGGCTGTAAATCTTTACAGAAGCAGACTGCTTCATTTTTCTTCCACAGAGTGGCTAATATGTTATATACTGACAACTGATATGCAAATTACAAAAAAGTAACCTCATTGATGTGCCAGTCACTAATCACAATAGTAGCAATGACCATTTTTAAGGATAGATTAGAGTAAGTTTTTTGATAACCTTTTACTAGGCAGTGCTTTGTTTGCACAATTCAAGCACTTTCCATTTCAGCTTCCTGAGATATAGGGACGTAACATAGTATGAAAGTAGGAAACCAGTTGTCAATGGCTTTATTCAAAAGGTATGTGACATGAAAACAATTAGTCCAAGGGATTGGTAGACTATGTGATCCTCAGCCCATGTGACCATGAGACCAGAAGAACTAGATGGTGCCCAGCTACCACTGTCAACCACCCGGAGATGGATCGATCGGTCAGGAGATCCTGGATAGAGTGGGAGAACAATGTGGAACAAAACTCAAAATCATAAAAAAAAAAAAAAAAGACCAGGTTTGCTGGCCTGATAGAGCCTGGTGAGACCCCTGAGACCATGGTTGCTAGTTATTCTTCAGGTCTAGAACTGAACTCAGTCCTGTGACTTCTAGACAAACAATAGACAGGCATATGGTGTGAACATTTACACCATGTAGATACACTCCTTGGAGCAACTGGTCATCAATCATGGGAGAGCAGAAAGGCAGTGTTTGTACAGGGAGACAGCTGGGGGTAAGGGAAGGGCACGGGAGGGAAAGACACAGGGAAGAGATAATTATGGGGAAGAAGTGGGAAGAGAGTTGTTACGTTCTGGAGAATTGCAGTCAATGTCATGAAACAAAATGTGTATGACTGCTGTATGGAAAATGAATTTGCTCTGTAAGGTTTCACCAAATCACAATAAAACATTTTTTAAAAATGGTATGTGACAAGACCCAGAGAGGGTTGGGGTGGATGGGGAGGTAGAGTTTGGAAATATAGTAAAGAAAGACAGACAAAGGAAAAGAAAACGAGTGTGCATGTGTGGGTGGAAGGAGCACTGGACCAAGAGTCAGGAGACTTAGGCTGTCATCCCTGTTTGGTGACTGACTTGCTATGTGGCCTTAGCAGTATTATTTATTCTCTCTGGGCCTTAGATTATTCATCTAATCACAATAACTCACATTTATACCACAATTTAAATCTGTAAAGCACTTTCACTGCTTGATCCCCTAACGGCCCAGTGAGTTGTTTGCTGTCGAGTCGGACCCAACTCATAGCGACCCCTCCTTGGGTTTCCGAGGTAATATGACTATGGAAGTAGATTGCTCAACCTTACTTTTGAGGAGTGGCTGGTGGGTTTGAACCACCAGCCTTCTGGTTAGCAGTCAAGTGCCTTAGGCACTATGCTACCAGAGCTCCCAATGGCCGAGTGAGATAGGTGTTAGTTAAATCATTATTCTCCACCTCACAGATGAGGAGATTGAAGCTCAGAGAGGGACAGAGGTGTCACACAGCAAGTGTGTGGTCAAGCTATGATTCAAACTCAGATGTTCTGATGCCCTGACCAGAAGAGCATGAACAGCAGATTCCCTTGTGCCAAGGTGACACAAATGATATCCTTCACAGAGCCAGAAAGAAAGAAAGTGAAGCAAGGTCTTTGGGCTGAAGCCTCCTGGGACTAACCTAGCACTCATGGTTTTTCAGGTCCAGATATGTTTTGCCTTTTCCATGGGAAGAGATATTCCCCTGGTGAGAGCTGGCACCCCTACTTGGAGCCACAGGGCCTGATGTACTGCCTGCGCTGTACCTGCTCCAAGGTAGGTTCCTCTGGCCACCTGAGTCACATATGGCTGGGAGACATGAAGAGAAGTCATTACAGAGGGAGGGAGGGCAGTCAGAAGCTCTGGAGGTCAGGGGCACTCTAGAACCAAGTTCTCTAGAATCATGCTGTCAGCTACAGCAAAGGGACTTGGGGTAAGCCACTTCACTAATAAGAATTCAGTACATAGGAGTACATCTCCCAGAAATAAGTCATATATCATGCCAGTGGCTGGACAGGGATGAAGATCTGGGTCTCCCATCTCTCATCCCATCCTACCTTCCACTTTGAGCTGGTCTCAGCCTCCCTGCCTCCTGTGCACTGGAGTGGACCTTACTTCTCATTCCTTGCTTTTCATGTACTATTTTCCAGCCACTTCTCCTGCCACTCTGCCTTAGGATGCCTTCTCCCAACCCCACTAGTCCAAACAGTTATTCCTTAAGTCTTCATCTAATCCCACCTCCATCAGTAAGTCTTAGGTGATTCCTCAGCCGGAAGTGCTTTCTTCTTTCGGGCTTGCATATACGTTTCTCTGTCTCTTTCTGCTTGTATATATGGTCACCACATTGGCTGTGTCCATGAATTAGTGCCCCTCCTAGACTGAGTTCCTGAGAACAGGTCTTCCTGGCCCTCACTCATGCCCATCATGGTGCCCTGCTGAAAGCTGAAGGCAAAGACCATGTCTTTTGTACCTAGCATCTTCCATAGTGCCTTGCCTTGTGAGGTAAATGAGACTTCTGTGTGGCCCAGAATTCTCAGGTCAGGTATGAGACTGGAGGGGTAGAAAAGAAGGAAGTGACCTTCGGATGTTTGAAAAACCTTGACTTTAGCCTGAGGCCCAGCCTGGTTGGTAGGAAGTCCTCAGCTGTCTCAGACCATGGGTTGGTGCTTGAAGCTCCCAACTGGAGCCCGACCCTTAGCCTTGGCTCTTTCCTTGCACAAAGCCAAGAGAGGAATGCAGATGGCCTATAAGGGCCTCTTTTGCTAAAACAAAGTAAAAATCCTCTGAGGTGGGAGCAGAGAAGCACCCTGAGGAGACACTCACCCTGACCACTGGCATCTCACTCTTCTTGGGGTCTTTCCCTGTGATTCTCCACTGCTTCTACCATGTTGGCCCCCAAGTAGAACTCTGACTCAAACAGGGACATAACCTTCCCACTATTGCCTTCCCTTGGCTTTCCTTAGCACATCAACCTTCTCAGAAATAAATTAGCCAGAGAACAGAAAGGAAACCATAACAGAAAATTCAAGACATAGCACATGATCCAGTTGACAAAGTCCAAGTTTTGTGACCCACTGAAGCTAACTCATTTCTCCTTTCCCCAGAGTTCACACACACAATTTTTGTCCTCAACTGAAAGGCTTGTTGCCAATATCTCCAAAATACCCTAAATCCCTCTATTGTGACTGCTCCCCCTAATCTAAACCACCTTTATCTCTCACCTGGGTTGCTACATGAGCCTCCTAATTGGTCTCCCTATTCACCCTTCTAAATACATTCTCCATATAACAGCCAGAGGTTTTTTTTTTTTTTTTTTTCCCTGAACATGAAACAGACCATGCCATTCCTCTCATAAAAGCCTCCAATAGCCTCTTAAAGCCAAATTCAAAGTCCTTGCTACAAGGCATTGAGTGATATGGCTTCTTCCTTATTTGCCAACCTCATTTCATATTTGTTCCAGCCACTCTGGCCTTTCAGTTCTTCCAGCATTTCAAACTCATTCCCACTCGAGGACTTTGCAGTTGTTGTTCCCTCTGCCCAGAATGCTTTTCCCAGGATCTTCTCATGAGTGGCTCCTTGACATCTCGCAGTTCGTAACGTAAATGTTACCTCTTTAGGAGGTCTTTCCCAGAAGCTGTTTCTAAAATAGTCTAACCTTGTCAACGCAATCTCATTACCCTGTTTCATTAGTATCATGAACTTAATATCTAAAGTTATCTTGTTCCTTTACTTGTTTATTTTTTTGTAGTCTATCTCCCACTGTTAGGATATAAGCTCCATGAGAGCACAAATCTTATCAGTCTTATTCACTGCTTTCTCTCTGGTGCTCAGAGAAGGCTGGGTATCCTAGGCATGTAGTAAATATTGAGTGAATGAATGAGTCCACATTCCATCCACCAGAAGCAGCTCCAAAACCAAACCAAACCAAACTTAGTGCTGTCGAATCTGACCCGACTCATAGTGACCCCTCCTTGGGTTTCCCAGGTGGTATCACTATGGATAGTACATTGCCCCATCTTCCTTCCAAGGAGTGGCTGGTGAGTTTGAATCACCAGCCTTCTGGTTACCAGTCAAATGCCTTAGGCACTATGCTACCAGACCTCCTAGAAGTAGCTCAGCATCATGGAAAATACATGGACCCCAGTGACACTGCTTATCAGCTGTGTGACCTTAGGCAATTTACTTAGCCTCCTGGAGCCTCTTTTTGCATTTGTAAAATATGGATAACAGAACCTACTTCTAGGGTTGTCGCAAAGACGAAGGGAAATGATATATTTATAAATAATGTCCCTACATAGTAGGCACTCAATAAATGGTAGCTATGACTTTTCTGAGAGGTACCCTTCAGCTGCAAAGGGCTTTATCACATGACTGGCAGGCCTCCAGCCTTGTCCTGTTACACTTTCAGCTCCAAGCCTGTCTCATCTTATTTCTTGCTGCAGAGTTGCTAATCATCTCCATCCTTGGCTCGTTCAAGGCTAGAATCAAGAGAGAAGGTCAAACTCTTAGGCCACAGAGTCCCTTCCACTGCATCTCAGTTTCTCATCTGAGGGACTCCATTCATTCTCTAGACTAGACCGTGATCCTCATAACAGGGGGAAGTGCAAGATGTGTGAAGCCAGAGGAGGAGGCAAAAAACTGTCTGGTGGATATAGCAGAGCTGACAAGGGACAAGGTTGTAGTCACTTCTTGGTCACATCCAGCTACCCAGAGGGACCGAGTAGTTGAACCTGTGGGCTTGGGACCATAGTCACAGGGGACATTGAGCTCAATTGGCATAACATACTGCACAAAACATTGTTCCACCTCCTACTTTGTCGAGTAGCGACTGGGATCTTAAAAGCTTGCAAGCAGCCATCTAGATGCAACTATGGGTCTCTCCTCGTCCAGAGCAAAGAATGAAGAAAACCAAAGATTCATGGAAACAATTAGTCCTCACAACTAGTACACCATGAGATCCTCAGCCTATATGAATATGAGACCAGAAGAACTAGATGGTGCCAGGCTACCACAGTCAACCACTCGGAGGGGGATCTATGTAGAAGATCTTGATACAGAGGGAGAACAATGTGGAGCAAAACTCAAAATCATTTGGGGAAAAAAAAAAAAAAAAAAAGGGACCAGTTTAGCTGGTCTGATAGAGTGTGGTGGAACCACTGAGACTATGGTCCCTAGCTGCCCTTCAGGTCTGAAATTGAACTCATACCTGTGGCTTCCAGCCAAACAAAAGACAGGCATATGAGTTGAACATTTACCTGAGGTAGGTACACTCCTTGGAGAGAACAATCATGGGAGAAAGAAGGGCTGTTTATGCACAGGGAGTCAGCTCAGGGGGGCAGGAGTGCATGGAGGGATGCACACAGGGAAGAGGTAACTATCGGGAGGAAGTGGAAGGGGAGCTGTTGCATTGGGGTAAATCGTAGTCAATGTCATGAGACAATGTGTGTGTGAACTGCTGTATGGAAAGTGTATTTGCTCTGTAAACTTTCACCCAAATCACAATTAAAAAAACAAAAAACAACTGCCTGGCAAATTGGGAAACATTCCTAAAGGGGTTGTGGCCTCTCTCTCTCAGATTCTGTTTCTGCTCATCTCGCTGTGTATATGTTTCTCTGCCTCATTCTTTGCTTGTACTTGAAAAAGCTAAAGAACTTGGGACCATGAATGGGTTTGCCCTTCTCTGATGGTAGCTGAAGGATGCAAATGAGTGGGCCAAGCAAGATCTCCTTTGTGGGCAGGGAAAGGGGAAAGCTTGGAGACGTTTGAGTTCATTGTTTTAATCCTGTCACAGAGTAGTGGTGAGCAGTTGGAGTGATAGTTTTGAGAGAGGGCAGGTAAGAGTGGAAGGCAATGGCTCTTTGGAACTGACCCCTCTGTCCCTTTCAGAGTGCCCATGTGAGTTGTTACCGCCTCCACTGCCCACCTGTCCACTGCCCCCAGCCTGTGACTGAGCCACAGCAGTGCTGTCCCAGGTGTGTGGGTAAGTAGACTTACTCCTCCCCTTTCTCCAGCTTCTTTATCTCACTCCCAATACAGTGGCTTTGGCTGAGGAGCCTCCTGGAACGAGAGGAGCAGTCTCTAACCCCCTCAGAGGTGTGGAGACACAAAGATGCTCAAGAAAAACAAACAAACATCCTGGAGAGCTGGAGTAGAGGCAACCTTCTAATTCTTAAATAGATGTGCATCGCAGGAGGAGGGAGAAAATGTGAAAGGTGGCTGAAAGAAATAGGGGCTTCTTGACTTGTTAATGGGCATACTTGTGCTCCAGTCTCTCTTGAGCTGGCCTGAGCTGGAGGGAGCAGACATGCTCTCTGGAACTGGAGGTGAGTTGGCTTGGACTGGGAGCCCTGTAGAGAGACTGCCAGGGGATTTTCACCCTGGGCTGAGAATGACCAAGGAATTGCAGTAGAGGTACCCTGAGATTCCTCCCAGTGCTAAGATTCTGGGATTCTCTGGGTCTTGATGCGCAATGTCTATGATTCCATTATTTTAAGATTCTAAGAGCCTCTGAGACTGGGATTCTAGGAAGTAGAGGTATGGGAGGAGAGGTGGCTTGAGAAGAAACTGATGTATCACATAAATGGCCAGTGAGGATCAGCCAGTGGGGAGGCAGATTTAGAAGAAGGAATAAATGTTGAGAGAAGGTGATGAAAAGGGGGGGTTCCTGAGATTTGCCTCAACTCTTGGCTCTGAAACTAGGAATCTCCTGGTGATTTGATGACCTGCATGGAGTTTACGTGTGGAAGGGCTCATTTTTCTAAGTGAGATCCCAGTGGTTCATACAGATTCCTGGCTCTGGGTTTCCTTAGGGAGCAGAGCCTCTGAGCTTTATCTTGCTTAGGAAGGGGACATCTCACCTCCCCCATGTCTGAGGCTATCTCTAAGGTGCCCTTACCTCTCCTTGCCCACTTTGGGACTTCCTCCTCGATGCCTTGAACCAGGCCTCTTTTTCCTCGAATGCTCTTCACTCTCTCTCTTTCCATAATCTGTCCCTTTACTTGCTTCTATTTACTTCTTGTTCAAGACTCAGCTCAGCTATCAGCCCCTTCAGGAAGTGTGCCCTGACCCCCCTCCCATCCAGCTGAGTTAGGGGCTCCTCCTTTGTGCTGCCACAACTTCTGTGCTTCTTTCTTCCCTAGCCCTTACTGTACTACAGTGTAATTGATTGTGACTTGTCTCTCTACCCAATGAGATTATGAGTGTCTTGATGGTGGGGGCTGAATCTTATGCATCACTCCATTCCCAGTGCCTAGCATGGTACTTGGTACAGAGAAGGCGCTTATTAACAGTGTTGAATGAATGAATGAGCCTCAGATCTGCAGTTCTTTCAGGGCTAGAGGCTTACTCCTCTCCCCTACAGGAGGAAGACTGACTGATTGGTGGGTGATGAGGAGGAGGGTTGTGGTGACCAATGAGTAAAAGGAGCTTACATCAAGCACAGGGACAGTCTAGAGCAACCCAGCTAACTCCACTAAAATGTAATTCCAAGAGGGCAGGGACTTTGTATTGTTCATGCCTGTCTCTCCAGTGCCTAGCACAGTGCATGGCACTGGGAAGTACTCCATGAGCACTTACTGAACGATGAATGAACTCACTCAGACTTCTGGCCTTTCCTTTTTACTAGTCAGGGCCATCTCAGACACTGAAGGGCTGAAAGACCATAGTGAGGAACGTTGGGAGGGAATGGCATGGTCAGGTAAAGGTATCAGCAGGACCTCTTGGTTTGCTGAAATGGGGAATGGTTGGGAAGGCTAAGACTCAAAACCAAACCAAACTCACTGCCATTGAGTCAATTTGAGTCATAGCGACCCCTCCTTGGGTTTCCAAGGCAGTATCTCTACAGAAATAGATTGCCCAATCTTTCTTCCGAGGAGTGGCTGGTGGGTTTGAACTGCCAGCCTTCTGGTTAGCAGTCAAATGCTTTAGGCACAACACCACCAGGCTAAGACTAGAACTCACTTAAAATGCCAAGATGGGCTAAAATGTAAAATCTTCAGAAAAGTTGCTTGGTTAATTCTAGCAAAGCTCTTAGATTCATATGAAACTGCATTTTCTTCTTCCTGCTCCTCTCCACTTGCAGAACCTCATACTCCCTCTGGACTCCGGGCCCCCCCAAAGTCCTGCCAGCACAATGGGACCATGTACCAACATGGAGAGACCTTCAGTGCCCGTGAGCTGTTCCCCTCCCGCCTGCCCAACCAGTGTGTCCTCTGCAGCTGCACAGTAAGAGCTTCAACTTTCCCTTTAGCCCAAGGCCGTCGTCCATGATAATGTAGATTGGGGGAAATGTGTTCCCCCTGGTTATGGGCAAAGTGAGAATAAATAGGCTCACGGGAAAGGGAACATCCAACAGCTAGGGTTTGATGTGTCCTGCCCCTAGCTCAGTCAGGTAACCCTCCTCTGGGCCCCTACACCCTCTTGAATTTCTTGTGTTACATCCCTGGTCATCTTGCCCATTTCTGTTTCCCTCACTACACTCTGCACTCATTGAAGGAAGGGAACATACCCCATTCATTTCTGTATTCTCTGCTGCTTCCAGGCCAGGCCCTGGCATACAGAGAATGCCTGTAATGATTGTGGAATGAATGAATTAATGAGTGAATGAATGAGTGAAAGAGTGAGTGATTAATTACCAGTCTTGGGGCCTAGAGCCGGAGCCAGACTAATTTGTAACAAAAACAACTTAATCTGAAGCTTCTTAAACTCCCCATTTGTGGTCAGTGTTGGGCCTGGGGCCAGGCAGGGTTCACTTTGCTATTATCAGGGGACAGACACTGAAGCCAAGCAAGCTCTAATCAGGAAAATCTTCACTCTCCTTATTGGAAGGTTCCAGGCATAGCTCAGCTGCAGGTTTGCCAGTGTTTTTCACCTTGTCATTCCTACCTTCCCTCTGGACTTAGCTCCTCATCTGTGCATTGGCAGTAGAGATTCCTGCCCTTTCAGTTTCCTTACACTCTGATCATCAAACTTCTCTGGCTCTCAGTTCATCTGAGTGCATAAAGGACCACTAATGTCCTCTCTGTTTAAAATAATCATTTGATTTAGCAGTGATATTAGGGTATCACGCCTAGACTAGGTATTGTCGTTACCTAGTGCCATTCTCACAAGAATATACCACAAATGGGATGGCTTGAAGAAACAGGAACTTATTCTCTTACAGTTTGGCGGCTTTAGCCTGAGTTCAAAGTGCCAGGCTCTAGGAGCTAGGTGAAAGCCCCTCAACCTTGGGCTTCAGCTCTGCCTTCTGCTCCCGGCCCACTGAAGCTGGAGGCTTTTCTTCATTCAGACAGCTGCTGGCTGCTCAGACTGACAAGCCCAAGGTTGACAAGTGAAAAGGCACAGTCCTGATGTTATCAAACCACACAGCAGGCCATTAATTCAAGTCTACTGAAAGTCCCAAGGTCGGCAGAGCATGGCAGTTGCTAAACAATGACACAACTACATGCAGGGTTCAAGCGTCCCATAAGCTAGAGATCATTTCCAAAGCTGCTGCTTATTTATGGGAAGCAGACCACATCCCTAAAGCAGCTACTCAGCTGCTTGTGGTAGATCCCACCATGGAGTTGATTGCCAGTCTCATCATGGGGAATAACTACCACCAGCTGCCCAGCCACTAAACAAGGCCTAGCCAAGTTGACACAAAAACTTAACCACCACACTAGGTATTAAGAGACCCACATTTGAGCACCAGCTCTGCCATAATTCACTGTATGACCTTGAACAAGTCACTTCTCCTCTCAGTGCCTGTCTCCCCATCTTTTCAGTGAAAGGGTCTGTTGTGTGTTGAATTGTGGCTCCAAAAAAGATATGTTGAAACCCTAACCTCTGGTACCTATGAATGCGACCTTATTTGGAAAGAGGGTCTTTGTAGATATGATCAAGTTAAGGTCATTAGGGCGGACCCTCATCCAATATGACTGGTGTCCTTTTAAGAAGAGGAGACATAGATAGATAGAAGGAAGATGGCCACGTGAAAATGGAGGCAGAGATTGGAGTTATGCTGTGTAAACCAAGGAACACCTGGGGCTATCCAAAGCTGGAAGAGACATGGAAAGATCCTTCCCTAGAGGCTTTGGAGGGAGCATGGCCCTGCCAGCACCTTGATTTTGGACTTCTGGACTCCAGAACTATGAGACAATACCTTTATGTTGTTCTAAGCCACCAATTTGTGGTACTTTGCTACAGCAGCCCTCAGAAACTAATTTAGGGCCCCATCTGTCTAGCTCTGAATCTTAAAGTATCTGTGCTGCAGAGCAAAAAACTTATCAATAATGGAATGATTATTTATAAAGCAACCTAATAAGCAATTATATTTTTGCAAGATCTGAACCTCTTGCAGTGATCTAGTATATTGTACCTACTAGTTTCATGGAAATGCCCTGTGTTTATATACAGTATCCCTATCATTATTCCTATTTTTCAGATAAAGGAAACTGTGGCTCAGAGTAGCTAAGTAACTGGGCCTAAGGTCACAGAGCTAGTAAGTGGTAAAACCAGCCTTCAGACCCAGGCCTATATGACTCCAAAGCCCATGCTCTTTTCTCTGCATTGTGCTGTTTCCTATAGAGTAGCCTGGATTAAGAGGGGTTTGTGGGAAGAGACAGAAATGATGGTGGTGGGGTGGTAAGTGCATTCTTTGTTTTTTTTTGAACATTGTATTATGGGGAGCTCTGGTAGCATAGTGCCTAAGGCATTTGACTGCTAACCAGAAGCCTGGAGGTTTAAACCCACCAGCCACTCCTCAGAAAGAAGACTGGGCAATCTACTTCCGTAGTGATACCACTTCAGAAACCCAAGGAGGGGTCATTATGAGTCAGATCCCACTCCACAGCAGTGGGTTGCATTTTTTCATTTTATTATGGTTTAGGTGAAAGTTTACACAGCAAATTAGTTTTCCACTCAATAATTCATATATAATCTTTTCCATGACATTGTTTGCAATCTCTGCAATAGCAATATTGCCTCAGAATTGCCTCAGAAACCCAAGGAGGGATCGCTATGAGTGAGGTCCGACTCAACGGCATATAACAACAACAACAACAATGTGTCAACACTCTCCCCATTTCCACTGTGGATTCCCTGTTTCCATTCTTCTGGTTTCCTTGCCTCTTCCTGCCTTCTTGTCTCTGTTTTTGGGCAAATGTTGCCCTTTTGCCCTCATGTAGTAGATTGTTCTAAGAAGCACATTCTTCACAGGTATTGTTTATTTTATAGGCCAGCTTATTTTTTGGTTGAGAGGTGGCTTCCGGGAATGGCTTCAGTTCCACATTAGAAGGGTGACTTAGGGCAATAGTCTTGGGGGTTCCTCCAATCTCTATCTGACCAGTAAGTCTGATCTCTTTTTTATGAATTTGAGGTTTGTTCTACATTTTTCTCCGATTCTAACCAGGACCTTCTCTTGAGTCTCTGGTCAGAGCAATCGGTAGTAGTTGCTGGGCACCATCTAGTTCTTCTGGTCTAGAGGAGGCTGATTACTTCCATGAGCCTGATTGCTTCACTCTCCTTTGCTCCAGAAGGGAAGAGACAATAGTTGTATCTCAGTTGGCTGCTCACAAGCTTTTAAGACCCTAGACTCTACTCACCAAACTAGAATGTAGAACATTGTCTTTATGTACTATGACATGCCAATTGATCTAGATGTCTCCTGAGACTATGTTTGGTGAGGCCCTTCTTACAATTTCCCTTTTTCTTTCTGCTCATCCCTGTTTATATGGGACTGGTTTGATTCCTGGCTGCATCTGAGAGGTCAGTATCCTTACTTCTCAGACTCATTGGAAAAGGAATAGGAAAAGGACTTAAGGGAATATCACTTCCTCCCAGGTACATTGTGCTTTACAGTTTAAAAAGGGTTTTCACAACCATTCCCCTCATTTGATCTTCACAGCCCAGCTAGGAGTGTCTCCATTTCACAGAGGGAACTGAGGCCCAGAGAATAGAAGTAACTCACCAGAGGTCATCTGGTCTCTTGACTCCCAGAAGGTCTTCCCCCTGTAGTCTTGCCTCTTGAAGTTAGGTCCTAAAGTTAGAGGACTAAATGAAGATGAGCCCGAGGTATTACTCATCTTTCCCTCTCCCTTATGCTGGGCTCCCTGTTCAGGCCAAGGGAGAAGGACATAGATTTCAGTGGAAAAAGCCTGAAGCCTGGGCTCTAGTCCATTCTGCCCCAACTATCTCTCTGACTTCACATGGTTCAGGCCCCTCTCCAGGCTCCCCTCACCTGTAGGTTGGAGAGAGTCTCACCTCACCAGTTTTCTCTGAGAACCTAGGGAGAGACTAGATGTGAAGCACTTTGGAAGCTGAAGGATCAATGTTACCTTCAGGGCTTGGAGTGGGAATGGGAAGGGTTCAGGGGACTCCTCTTCCCAGTGGGATGGGCCTTTCCCTGGAGGCTCCTTCCCTCTCCCATCTCAGGAGAGACCACTGGGCCATTTGCCCTCAGGGAAGGGGGCTCTACTGTTCCCTAAGGATGGCTATCAGAGCTCATTTCTCAGAACTTGTTTGCTCTATCAGGAGGGCCAGATCTACTGCGGCCTCATAACCTGCCCCGAACCTGGTTGCCCTGCACCCCTCCCGCTTCCTGACTCCTGCTGCCAGACCTGCAAAGGTGAGTCTGCCTTACAATCTGGAAGTACCCAACCCCACCCCATGGACCTAGCCATAGGGTGTTTGAACCTCCAGGTACACCCATCAAGTGGCAGGCCATTCCTTCCTCAAAAGTGGTGTCTTAGCCTGGGCCACCAAAAGGAAAGCCTGACATGGAGGCTGATGTGCCACTTATTTTTTATTGTAATCCCAGGGAGCAGGAATGAGGGAGAGAGGGAGTGAAGCAGGGAAGGAGAGTCAACATAAAATGTGTTTTGGAGCTGGTCTCCTCTTGATATCAAGTATAATTACTTGCTGGAAATAGTCTTCTGCTTCTTAGAAAAGCCTAGGGATTGTAGAGGAAGAGGTAGGAATTTATCCACCAGTCACTAACTCCCACTAGCCAAAGAATTACTGCAAGGGTGTTAATTTCTCATACTGCTCTGTTGTGCATGCATGTGTGGGTTCTAGGAAGCCCTGGGATCAGGAGGGCAGGAGTGGGGTGAGAAGGGAGACTGGGGTGGGATAAGAAGTGGGAGGTGGGAGACATGGATATGAAGTGCTAGCCTGAGGCACAGGCTTGAGGGGAGGTGCTGTCAGGTTGAATCTGAGGAAGTTGGTTGGAGCCCAGGCAAAGCTGGGCACTGCAGCAGTGGCTGCAAAAAGTGGATAAAGTCCCTGAAATCAGATGAGGTCAAGGGGATCAGCAGCAGCATGTAGAACAGGCAGGAACCACGTCTTCTGCTCTTGTCTTCTTCCTGGCAGGGCTGGGCTCAGAGGCTCTGAGAGCTTTAGTCAAGCTGAATCCAGGTGGAGTCTCTGTATAAAACAGAGAGGCCAGGATATCATCTAATGAAGGGCAAACTTCATAGTGTTTAGACCATTTAAGCCCATGTATTGTTCCCTGTGAGCTAAGGAAGTTGAGGAAAGCTTCCTGAAAGAGGCAGGACTCAGGTGGGTGTTCCATAGTAGAAGGCTTTGCCAGATGTTGGTGTTATGGAAGAGGCACTGGATCAGGAGTCAGATCCTGTTTCTTCCAGCTAGTTCCTGCAAGTTCATTTCCACTCTGAACCTCAGTTGCTCCCTGTATACACTGAAAAATTGGCCTTGGTTATTTCTGCTGGGCAGTCTAATTCCAACATTCTGGGTCTTTAAGCTGGGAATGCTTGGTAGGAGCCAGACTATATAGTGGTGCAGGGAACTAGGGAGAGGAATCCTACTCACTAGGGAGAGAGAACCCTTAGGAAACTGCAGGGCTCCTCAGGGCTTTGTGTGCTACTTTCCAGGGGAATGAGAGATGGAAGAGTTGGGGTATTAAAGTTAGAAGGGCTAGAAGGCAGGACCCTGGAAATGTATAGTGTGCAGTGTAAACTAAGGCCTGGTGATTTCAGTGTGTCTGCCTGGGGGACTGGCTACAGGGATGGGAAACTGGGCCTTTGGACTATCTATGACAGGCACTGAGGGACCTAGTGTCCCAAAGAGGTGACTTTTAAGTAAGGACTGAGCAAGACACTCTGGCCTAGCCAAGCATTCAGGAGGTCAGCAAGGAGAAACCAAGGTAGCAGCCCATTTATGGGGATTTAGTCAGCCCAACAGGTAAGGGGAGGCTGTAACAAGAAGTAGGAATAAGTACCCCCTGAGGCAAAGGGAGATCTGGGGCTGCAGATCTGGGACTCCAGAAGTAGCTCTAGGCCTTGACGGGGCAGGGCCTATAGGTGGAGGCCTGCAGGGCTCCAGCCAGCAAGGCTTAGGAGGTCCAGGCTGACCCACTTTCTGTTTGGGTTTCCAGATGGGTCAAGTGAGAAACCAGCTGAAGAGGACACCATGCAGTCACATCATGGGGTGGTGAGTACCAGCTTTACTGATATGGTGGGGGGAGGAAGAGCGGGGAAGCAGGTATCTAGGGCAGGCAATATCATTCATTATCCTCATTTCTCATTTATCTTCTGGATTAGCTACATTAGCCCCCACCATGTTCCAGACTCTCTCCCAGCCCAGCCAGACCATGACTAATGGGCTAGCAGTGACCTGGGAGAAAACAGGTCACCCATACAGGACAGAAGCAGGACCCAAACTTTCCAATTTACCTCCTGGGAACTTCTTGGACACTGTTCAATCCAGGACCTGTGTCTGGTCTTAGTCCAGGCCACTTCTAGGGAGCACATTCCCCTGATAGAATGATTTCTGACTTGGTCAAGCATTCCCCACCCAGCTCATGACTCTATCTGGGTCTACCTCTCTGTTTTCCTCAATCTTGGCCCCTCTTGATCTTGGTCTAGAGTTCATATAGGGAGTGGTGGCCTAACTGCCCAGTTCTCTGTGATCTGAGAAGGAAAAGGTGGGAAAACGGACTCAAATACTGACTCAAGTTCCCAATCTATGCTATGTCTACAATGTGAACAACTCCACCTGCTTTATAGCCTTGGCCACCTGGATTCTTGGGGCTAGGAAGCTGGGCTCCCCATCCTAGAGGTTCCCCAGGGATCTGAGCTAACTCATCTCTCTCTTCCCCTCTGCCAGCTTATCCCCTTGTCCATGCTGGCCCTTCTTGGCTGGGGACAAGAGCTGCAAAATCTGAGCCACTCCACTCCCTTTGCTTTCCATGCTATCCCTAGAAGGCACTGTGCTAAGTAAACCTACCCAGGCTTAGTTCCAGGCCCTGATAAGCTACTTACTGACCTGCTGGATGACTTGGGCAAGCCCCCTTGGGGATTGGGCTCTTCTATACTTTCTTGCCTATATTCCATTCAACCAGGATTTCCTGGTTATGGGCCTGTGCTGGGGCCACTCAAAGAGGTCTTGTGGGCTCAGACTCTGGGCCATCAAAGGATTGATTCAGAGGCTGGACAAGACAGGAACAGACTGTAGAAGAAGGAACATGAGTGACTCAGGATCAGCCAGGAAGGCAGCAAGCCTTGCCATTTGCCCCAACCCACTTGCCCCTCTCTCATGGCCTAACACTGCCCAAGCCCCAGACAGACTTGCCACCACTACACACACTTTGCTGTCACTGCCATCCCTCCTAAGACCTGTGTCCTAGAGGGGCAAGACCTTGGGATCTTGGAATCTAGGGGCTCAGGAAAGGTGGTGTGGGCTCTGGAGACTCTTTGTCTCTGAACGGGGCCAGCTCTTAGTCTCCCTACCCCATGGGATTCTGGGACCTGGTGGGATCTTCAGAGGCCCATCCATCCCCTTGTCTCATCACCTAAATCTCAGACAGAAAAGAGTTTCCTGACTTTAATCCTCACTACAGTCTCACCTTCTATTTCCTAAATATTAAATTGTCCAGGTCACTGATCAATTTTATTTCCAAGGTTGGTAGTTCAAACCCACCAGCTACTCTGTGGAAGGAAGACTGAGCAATCTACTTCCTTAAAGAGTTACTGCTTTGGAAACCCAACCAGGGTCACTATGACTTGGAATCGACTCCACAGCAGTGGTTTTTTTTTTTTTTTTTTCCTTCTTACTCCCATTCCAAGGCCTTGATTCTTCTGACAAGGGTTTGGTGGAGGCCAGATTTCGAGATCTCTATCCTCTAACCTTTTCAAAGATGAATTGTTCTGAGTACATCTTAGGCCTTCTCAAGCTCTCCCTTCTGTGCCTAGACTATGCTCTCTCCTCATGGGAAGTCATGCTCATGTCTGTCCTCAGGCCTCCTACTGCAGCCTCTGTCTTGCTGCTCCTCCACCCGGCAGTAAACAGTGGCACTGTCAGTGATCTGCACACTTCCTGCCATTTGCAGAGGCATTCTCAGGATCCATGCTCCGGTGATGGTGATGGTGATGGTGGGAGAAAGAGAGGCCTGAGCACCCCAGCCCCCACTGGCCAAAGCTCCCCGCTGGCTTTCATCCCGCGTCACTTCCGGCCAAAAGGGACAGGCAGCACCACAGTCAAGATTGTCCTGAAGGAGAAACATAAGAAAGGTGGGGACTGGAACCTCCTCCAAGCATGAGGTGGAAAAAGGGGCCCTAACCCCTTGACACCCTCCACTCAGCAGTGCCCCCATCCCCACTCCCTATACCATAGCCCTGGGGACTTATAGAACATCAAAATGGAAACAGTACTTAAGACAATCAGTTTTGAACCTACCTTTGATGGATGAGGACACTGAGGTTCAGAGTATTGAGTTAGGGGCAGGACAAAGACTGGGACTCACATGTCCTGACTACTGGTCAGTACAATAATACTTTTTTGAGCATCTTCATGTCTTTGCTGGGAGATGAGGGAGACAGAACAAAGAAATGAATATTCATTCCTGCCCTTGAAGGGCTCATAGTCAGGGAGACAGACATAAATAAATGACTGTAATATAAGGAAGTGCTGAGGCAAAGTTTTTGACAAATGAAGGAGGGATCATACTGGGCAATAGGAGGCCAGTTGGACGGAGCTGGGAAGGAGGACACATAGGCAGCTATGGCATCAGAGAGGAGGAAAGAAGTCTGAGGGCAGCCCCACTTGTGGAGCAAGAGGGGTCTTGGAGACTACTGAGTCCCATCCTCCTTTAGTCTGATGGGACACTAAGGCTGAGAAGGGGAAAGGGACTGTCCAGACTTTGTACAGCCAGGTAGCAATAGAACTTGACCTTGCCTCTCCTGATGTCGGGCCTCTCCTAGCTCCACCAGAGGTGTCTTGTGAAGGGCAGGGAGAGGACTCTCAATTTTTAGCAAGCACTGACCTGACACATCTGGCTCTGAGTGCTGAGATAAGGGGGATATCAGTGACAGGGGCGAGTTTTATACCCTGGCCTCCATTTGTAGGCACTGGCCTGGGCCAAATTGTAGAATGGGGGCTCCTCAAGGCCCCACACATTGCTGGACCGTAGACTCTGGCCTAGGTCTGAGGCACTGACCCGCCTCCCTTTCTGCCCTTCTTGGCCCAGCCTGCGTGCATGGTGGGAAGACATACTCTCATGGGGAGGTGTGGCACCCAGCCTTCCGTTCCTTTGGACCCCTGCCCTGTATCCTGTGCACCTGTCAGGACGGCCGCCAGGACTGCCAGCGTGTGACCTGCCCTACAGAATACCCCTGCAATCACCCTGAGAAAGTGGCTGGGAAATGCTGCAAGATTTGCCCAGGTAGAAAGAGGCTCTGTGGGCAGGGAGGGCAATGGCTAGAAAGAACTCTGGGCTTCTCTGCCCAAGGCCACAGACACTTGGAACATCTCATACATGAAAGGGCATGGACTCAGGGTTTATAGAAGTACATAACATTAGAAACACAGGAGTGGAAAACACCAGATTTATGTAACCATCAAATGTTCCAGCAATAGATTCAGAGGCTCTCAGACACATACATAGAATCAATAGTGTTTGGGACTCCATGAAGTTATGAGATCTTAGACTATTGGAACTTGTAGGAGTAATCTCCAATGTTTAATGAATACTTATAGTGTGCTAGGTAGGTATTTTACATGCATGAATTAATTGAATCCTCACCACAGAGGACAGAGTAGAATCTTTGTCTCCATTTTATAGAATGAGAAGATAAGTACCTTGTCTGGGGTCACATAGCTATAAGTGACAGAGCTGGGACTTGAACCAAGGTCTGTCTTACTCTAGAGCCTAAGCTCAACCACTGCTGTCATCCTAGCTCATTCAACTCTTATTTGCATATGGGAAAATTGAGACCCAGAGAGAAGGGACTTTCCTAAGCCACACAGCAAAGTAATAGTGGAGCTGGAACTAGAACTCAGGCTTCCCGACTTGCTGGTAGGTTCTTCCAATAATGTCATGTGACCCTAAGGTTAATAGGTCTGCAGAAGAAACCCTCAGAGTGTCTCATTGAGAAGAGCAGCCTGTGATTTTCCATAGCACCTATTGTCACAGTCAGGCCCATTCCCTCTGTCTCAGTAAAATGTGCTTCATAGGGTCTTCAAGGCTATGACCTTTTGGAAGCAGATCTCCAGGCCTTACTTCTGAGGTGCCTCTGGGTGTGTTTGGACCACCAACTTTTCAGTTAGGAGCCCGGCACTTAACAATTTGTGCCACCTAGGGACTCCTAACAGGAATAGAAAGGGCATGAGAGAGAGAGAGAGAGAGGGAAAGGAAATGTACACCTCGCATCTACTATGTGGCAGGAATTGTACTGTGATTCATATATATTTAATCTGACAATGCAGTTATTTCACAAATGAGATTAATTGAGTGATTAAATTTATCTATGTCTCCATCTCTCCTCAAATTTAATGTCAGGATATTTGAGTTGCTTACTTCCCTAAATTACTATTGTGAGCTTAGGACAAGTTACTTTACCTTTCTGAGCCTAGATGCAGAGTTGATGAAAATGCCTTGTGAATTATAAATCAAAATCCAAACAGAAAGGATCATTATTATTTATAAGAGTAATATGCTATTAGGACAGGGTTAGTGGGAGCATAATGGGAGTGGGGCCTGGAGCACAGTGAGGGACGAGAGTTCAACTTGAATTCTCTTTGAGACTGGCTCACTCCTGGGCTTCTTCAAAAATATACCTGGTCTTGAACTCCACTCCAGATCCCAGGCCCTTTCCCTTTAAAAATATTGAGATGTAGCCTGACAAGTCTTTGCTAGACATTTGGAGGCCTTCATAATTAATAAGAATCTAGAAGGAGGGTGTAGGGACTTAGTCCTTCAGTCCCTAAAAGATGATCTAGGGAATGATGGTACAGAGAAAATTGTAGGGAATTTCCATGGATTGCCAGTACATCCAGGCTTTAGAACTACGTCTAATTTGGCACCAAAAACATTACTACAACCACCACTATGGTCACTATCATCATGAGCACTACTGCCCCTCCCATTATCACAAACCATCATTGTCACTACTGCCATCATCACCTCAACATCCCAGACCTTTCATTTTGTTCACTGAGAGCCTATGCTTAGTGGTGTTAGTGATTCAAAAGACAGAGGGGATGCAACTCCTGCTCTTTACATTGTGAGTCTCTTTTGGAGACCCAAGTGGAACAACTATAAGGCAATGCAAGGCAACATGGGATTGGGGTTGTGAATGAGTGTCATAAGCAACAAGGTTTTTTTTTGAAATTTCTTTTAATACATTGTTTTAATTGTTCCAAAAGTATATATAACAAACACTTGCCAATTTAATGTTTTTCATGCGTACAGTTTAATGACACCAATTACATTAATCATGCTGTGCAGCCATCACCAATACCCAAAAGCAAGAGGCCATTTTAAAGCTGTGGTGGGAGAAATCAGGGTGGGCTGAGCTGTTCCAAGTGGGCTGCTGGAGGAGGTGGAAGGTGAGCTGAGCCCTGAAGGATGAGAAGCTTCCTGATGTGCTGATCAAGGGGAAGTGAATAGGGGAGCTGCCTCCTCTCCCCTCCCTAGAGACCTCTTCTTCCCAGGGGGGCCAGTACTTTCCCAAAGACCATAGAGCCCTGAGGGGGATGTCAAACCAGTGGCCCTCTTCCTGGGCCTACCAAGGGTGGGGAGGCAGCGCATTCACCAGCTCCTTGTCTCTCCCAGAAGACAAGGCTGACCCTGGCCACAGTGAGATCAATGCCACCAGGTGCCCGAAGGTGCCCAGCCGAGTTGTCGTCCACACATCAGTGTCCCCAAGCCCAGACAGCCTGCACCGCTTTGCCCTTGAGCATGAAGCCTCTGACCAAGTGGAGATCTACCTCTGGAAGCTGGTAAAAGGTGAGCAGTGGCCCATCTGTAGCCAGGCATACCTCTGGCCTGTCCCCCTTTCTGTGCTCCAGGCCCCATGTAGGCCTTAGGGATGTCATGTTAATCAGGTGGCTCTGGTCCAAGAAGACCTACCTCTGGCTGCCCTTCCAGGTTTAAAAGTCTATGATTCCAAGATATAGAAAGATAATGATTCTCAGTCTGTGAGTCTCTGACAACTCAGATAAATTCACTCACTTTGAGATACCAAGGGCTCAAAGTGCTCCCTCTCCTGGGGGGAAGGAGTTGTTGCACCTTGAAAAGAGTCAGAAGAGGGTAATACTTGCCCTGATGAAACAAATAGATCTCCAATGGTAGAATTTCAGCATTCTGTGAGGTCAGCTGGGGAGATGTTTTCAGGCAAGAGTACCCACACAGTATCCTCAAAGCCTTGAATCTTTTCTATATGGCAGATTTCACCACTCCAAGCTAAGCTGACATCAGAATATATTTCTCATTCTGTGAGAAAGACACCCTATTCAACAGACTACTTATATCACCAACTGAAGATCATGAGGGAATTATGAGAGTTTTGTGGCTCTTCCTTTAAAACAAAGGCCCTTGGATAGCATAAATGGTTAAAAGCTTGACTACTAGCCTAAAGGTTGCCAGTTCAAACCCACCCAGGGGTACTTCAGAAGACATGCCTGGCAATCTGCTTCTGAAAGGTCACGGCCTTGGAAATCCTAGGGAGCAGTTCTACTCTATACACATGAGGTTGCAGTGAATTGGAATTGACTCAGGGGCAACCAGCAGCAGCAGCAACAACCCTTCAAAACATAAATCCCCTGGATACATTAAGCCATGATCCCAACTAAATCCTTTGGTGTAAATTACCTCTAATGAAAGTCACTTCCCTCTACTGGTGGGTTTGGTTGGGGGTCAGGGTGGGGGTGGAAGAGGGAGTGATAAGAATGATGATAATGATAATGGCAGTCAATGTGTGTAGCACTTTAGAGTTTATAAAGTGCTTTCACAGTCATTATCTCATTTGATCCTCAAGGATCCTGAGAGTTAGCATTATTATCCTCATTTTACAGATGAGGAAACTGGGGCTCAGAGAGGTGAAGTACCTGGCCCAAGGCCACACAGCCAGTAAGTGGAGGAATGGGAGCTAGAGCCCATGTCTTGTGACGTCAGATGCGGCTCTTTCCCTGCTCTACTCTGCCCCTTGTCATAGGAGGAATGGATGAAGAAAGTCGAGCTGTTCAGCCTGGAGAAGAGGACTCAGGGGGACAGGACCGCTGGCTTCATGGCTCTGAAGGGCTGCCCCAGGCAGAGGGAGCAGCAGTGTTTTGAGTGACCTCAAGGATCAGAACAACAAGCAGGGGCTTTGGGATCAGACACATCCTATGCTCTGGGCCCCCATGGGCCTTTGTTGTTGTTGTTTGCCGTCGAGTCGGGTTTCTGAGGCAGTATCACTATGGAAGTAGGATTACCCAATCTTCCTTCCGAGGAGTGGCTGGTGGGTTTGAACCGCCAGCCTTCTGGTGAGCAGTCAAGTGCCTTAGGCATTATGCTACCAGAGCTCCTCCATGCCCTTAGGGATGCCATATTGATCAGGTGTCTCTGGTCCAGGGATACCTACCTCTGGCAGCGCTTCCAAGTTGAAAAGTACCTGATTCCAAGATATAGGAAGATATCCCAACTCTGCCATATCTTAGCTGTGTGGCCTTGGGCAATCACTTGACCTCTCTGGGCCTCAGTTTTCTCTTCTGTTAATTGGGGAGGAGGGTTTTAGGAGGATTAAATGTAATAACATAGGTACAGCTCCTGACCTATTTTACTAGGCACTTCAAATATTAGTATCCTTCTCATTCCACCCCACCAGTTGATTAGCGTTGTAAAGAGGCAGGTTTTAGCTCAATAAGAGGATAAACTTTTTCATACTTAGAGCCTTCCCACGGTGGAAGGGAGGGAAGGAGAATTGTGCACCTTCACAGGATGTGTGCAAGCAAGGGCTGGGTTGGGATTCTGTCAATAGCTGGGCAGTTAGGGTCAGTACCCCTCACCGGTCTTTTAAGCCATGAGATTCCATCCATCCCCTGGCTGCACTTTTACTCTGGCCTTGCTGACCTGAGCTGAGCTGGGCAGGGAAGGCTTCATGAAGGATGGGCTTGGGGCTGGATAGGATTTAAAGAGGCAAGGAGGAGTGACTGCAGCAGTCTCCAACTCTGGCTCTAGAGCCCATACTGCTCTACCCTGAGCTCTGTGACTGGTGTATGGCAGGTATTTTGTATAATGTGCCTCATTTAATCCTCATAATAGATCTGAGGGGTATATATTAACGCCCCCCCCCTTTTTAAAATTCAGGCTACAGCATGCTGAATGCCCTCATTTTGCAAATAAGAATACTGAGTCCAAGAGGTAAAATGACTTGCTCAAAGTCACACAGTTTAAGCAAAGATTCCAACCCAAGTCTGACTGTCCTGAGTGCTGCCTCTGTGCCCAGGATGGTGCAGAGGGGGTGTAGCTCAAGGCCAATCTAACTATCACTTCATCTCAACACAGTGGTGGTGAGGGGATTCTTCAATGTCACAGAGCCTGGTCCTGTCAATAGCAAACCCCCTCCACATCTCCTGACTCCCTGGGTTACCTAAAAGCCCCAACAGCTGCCTCATTACTCCCTGCCCCAGACTGTGGGAGTCAAAACAAACACTCCCTAGGTCTGAGCCTCAATGAGAACCACTCACTCTGTTTACTCACTCAAAAACCGTGGAGACAGCAGGCTTGGGGGCTGGGAGAAGAAGGGGAGAGTTGGACTGGAAATAGAGCAGATGGATGCTGAAACATGTACAAGGCTGGGCCATGCTACAGTGAGGCCAGTCCCAGCAACCAGAATCTGAGCAGAGAGTTTAAGGTTAAGGGCCTTTTAGATTCCTACAGTTTAGAGTAGAGGAGCCTCCATTCTAATCCCTGCCGAGAAAGGAAGATCCCCTGCAGCCTCCCTGATTGTCTTTAGCTCTGACTGCACATAACCCTATGCCTACACCCAGACAGGTTATTCATTTCCAACACTGTGAATGGCTCAGCCCGGAGAAGAATTTCTTCCCACTGAGCTGAACCTGACCTGGGGCTCACCTACCAGTCCCAGATTTGCCTTGAGGGTCTACAGAGCCAAGCTGTACCTCAGTTTGGCACAGCTCTTCAAAGGGTGAGAGGCACAAACATGATCCTTGGTCTAGTTTCTAATTTGAGGCCAAAGAGCCTAGTCCTTTCAATTTTAGGGATGTCATTCATGTTGATCAAGTGCCTCGGGTCCAGAAGACCTACCTCTGGCAGCACATGGGGGTTTACAGCTGCAGTGTGGGGACCCGCCATCTCTGTTACTTCCTCTCCAGTTTGTCTATCTCTCGAGGCATATGAAGCTCCTAAAGTTGACTCTGTGCTCCAGCAGAGTCTGAGTGGCAGGCATGCTACAGAAGGACCTGTCCCCAGCTCATTCTCGTTGTCTGCCTCTGTGATGAAGCCCCTGTGTGTCTGGATGAAGCTAACTCTCAAGTGTGCACTCCCCTTGACTTTGGAGTAGGTCTCTTCCATGTTCTTGTCCTTGGCATCTAGGCTGGGGGTCCCAAGGGCAGTGTGGACATTCCCTGATTCCTGAACTTGGGCCCAGGATCAGTGCTCTCTACATGCCTCTTGGTGGGTTCCCCTTCTGATTCCCATAGGCAAGGCCAGTTCTTGATCTTCTTGAGGGCGGTGCTGGCCTAACAGAGGCCTCGCCGGCTGCATCTGTTCTTTCTGGCTACAGACCCTGGTGGTAACAGCTGGAACAATCTCACAGCCCATGTGCTCCAAGATTCAGTGCCATGTGTGATGCTAGTGGCATCCTAGTGACCAACTCCCCATGACATACAAATATCAGGGGATCCGGTTAATGCCTCTCTCCTCTTCAGGGCCTGGCCTAGCCACACACATAGGTTTACTCATCCATCCATCCATCTACCTAGGGATTCACTCATTTATTTTATATGCCTGATGTGAGTCAGGTTCTGGCAGCCCTGAGAGGAAAGCCCTACCCAGACTGGTAGTGAAGGCAGGAATAGACACAATGATAGACATTAGAAACAGATACCATGGCAAACAGAAGCCAAGTGTGGTGGGTGCCCCAAGGAGGAAGTTATAACCACCAGAAGTGTGTGTGTAGGGGAAGACAGGGAAACCATCCCAGCTAAGGCTTGGAGGATGAGTAGGACCTCATCTGCTGGACCAGGCAATAGCAGAAAGTGTTCCAGCAAAAGGAATGGCATATGCCACTCCTCAGGGGACTTCAAGTAGTTTATTTTGGCTGGAGCACAGGCAAGGCCACAGAGGGAAGGTTGGGGTGAACTGAGCCTTAAGCTTAAAGGGGGCTAGAATTCAGATAGTTTTTTTTTTTTTTT